TCAGGGTCCATCCTTAAATTAATTAAAAACTGTACTTCATCTGTCACACCTCTCAAAAATCTAGTATCGTTTTTGTACTTAAATTTAAGTAAAGTGCAAACAATAATAGATTATAGACTGGCTTACAATAAACATGCAAGCTAGTTTACATATTTTAAATATTTTTTATGTGAATGTTATAATAATGAGACCGTGTTGCATGATTATTTTCTGAATTCTAACCATTCTCCGATGTAGAACGTCACTGTGATAACTTCTGTTAGCGGTTACCTGAGAGGGATCATAAAAATCAGATTAGGAGAGAACGTCTCTGAAAGTTTGATTTATTTCTAATTGTGTTGTTTAATACTAACGTCAAATTAACTACGATAAAATAAATGCATTAGAATCTACTATTAATTACTGACAAAAGCATGCACAACATAAATATCTAGTGAGAGGAATTTAGTCATTCATTTCTTTTCTCATGATTTGTACATACTTGTTTTTTATAAAATTTAGAACCAAAATTTTTTTAATGATTCTAATTTCAACACACAATAAGATTATATCATCATAATCTATAATTTAAAAGTGAGGGTATCGAAAATCAAAGCAAAGGAAGAAAAAAATAAATAGATAAAGAAAAATAATATAAATAATGAAATAATATTAATAATACAAATAAAAATGTAATAATAAATAAAGTGAAAATTCGCTATTTTGTACAGCTATGGCCAAAAATTAATATTTTACACTCAAGAGTTGAAATAAATTGCACAAACAAAATGGTTGTTGATAAAAATGAAAGAAAAAAAAGATTTTTCAAATAATAAATTTCTTAAGTCCATTGTGTAAAATATTGCTCCTGATATGTCCAATGCAGAAAGCTAAATAGGACTTCTGATTTACATCTAAAAAAACGTTTTCCCATCCCGAACACAAAACTGCATTTAACTTACAGCAAATATAAATAAAACCATCAAATTCTTTAAAATTTTATTAAAACAAAACATTTGAAGAAGACGGACACGATAGTTGGAAGAACCAAAAACAAAACAAAAACAAACAATTCGCCAAAATTAATACAATCAATCAATTAAAAGCGTATCACTGCGCTAAAAATTTCGTCAGTGCCGAAGAAGTTTACTTTGCAATTGGAAATACAAATGCAACTGTTTGTTCTATTTTCGATTATCATTTTTGCGTACTTTTCAAATAACCAACACTTTGATGGCCCGTCACCTTGTTGGATTTTCCCATTCGGCCTGTGACTGTGAGCGATTTCGATTTATCAATTTCACCTGTTTAAAGGAAAATTAATTAACTGGAAGGGAAGGGAAAGTATAGGTAATCGGTAGAAAGGACTTAAGGACGCATACGCAAGTCGATCAAAATAGTATAAACTCAAAATAGTAATAGTATAGTAGTAAATAAAAAAGAAATCTTTAAAATCATAAGCTGCATTTATCAGAAAAATAAATATACTTAAAATATTAAGTATTATTCAAATACTATGTTTTGTTCAGAATTAGAACAAACTTATTAAATTTACTTTTAAATAAAAGTGTAGTGTAACAAATTAAAACTACATTTATGATTGTAGTATATGTTTGTTGTATTCTAAATACACATGCACTTTTGAATTGTCCTCATTTATACAAACACAAAAGCTACTTGTAAAGATTTCAAGCAAACTAACTAAACTAGAAGCTAAGCAACATAAATTAAAGCTTATTTCAAATCGCATTAAGCATACAGGTAACCCTCCTCGCATAACACGGTTTAAGAATTGAGACTATCCCCCTCATAACACTACTTTTAAAGCATAGGTTTGGTATAACACGGTTTGAGAATTGAACAAAAACCTAATTAAATAAGAAATTTTGTAAAATCTATGAAAATCAAACTTTATCTAATCTAAAATTAGTAAAATAGCTCAATAAATGTAATGAAACCAGTACAAAGATAAGTAATTTGATATTTATTATTAGAGTGTGTACGTTCTATAGAAAAAAATTCTAGTATATATAATTAATATTTCTTAATTACCAATTCTTTGAATAAAATAAGCATAAAAGTTCATTGTAAGTACTAACTTTGCATGTGTTAAATATATAAATATCAATTTGGTAAAAGCAAGTGATCGCATTTTTTTTTTTTTTTTTTGCAAAAAATGATGCACGGATCTGGAAGTAGTACAGAAAACTGCTCAGAGGATAAAATAATTTTGCAAAAAAAAGATCGCGTTGTGTAGCATTTACTGGGTAGTTATGACAAAAAAAAAATTAGAGTTCATGTGATGTACTTTAAAAAAAAAATCAATATTATATAACAATATTATAAAATCATATGTAGTTGTAGATTTTCTTGAATTCTTATAACATAACCCCTTTTTTGTACTAATTTTTTGTCCCGCATAACACGCTAGTTTTTTTGGAACGTAACTACCATGTTATACGAGGGTTACCTGTATTTGGTTTTAAAGAAAAGCGTTTTTACGATTGATAAACCAACTTGTAAAAATAAATACAAAGTGCATTGTTGCAAGATATATTTGCATGTACAGTATATAGCAAGAATTTGAGATAAAAAATTGTTCAAAGATTGTGTTCGGTTTTCGAAGAGTTTTGGGCGCCCAGTATCATTTTTAAAATGAGGGTAATTTTCAGGTCATATTCTTTAAAAAC